CTTAGAGGCAGGCTGCCTTTTATTAAAACAGACAAATATTTAAACAAAACAAAATAAAAAATCCTAATGCAAAAGCGTAGAATACCCGAAAAATTAGGATAGTTTGAAAATTTTAATACAGAATAAGATTCGGCTTATGGCGACTAAGCTTTTACCTTTATTTTCCTCCTCCTGTCTCTCTCTCACATCTCTGTCCATTTTTGTGTATTCATCTTTCCTTATCCTCGTTTTTCATTCCGTCTTTTTTATGCCCCTCACATCTCATTTTCAGCATTCTCTCTCTCCCTTTTTTTTAAATAAAAATTAAGATTACAAAATCATAGTTATATGAATTTGTGTTTTCCAGCTTCAATCAATTCGATATACATTCTGCCAATGGGTTCGCAATTGAATTGAATGCAGGTCGCTTGTCTTTTGAGGAGCGACCATAATATAGCTTCCATTACGCCGTTAACCCTTCTTAATGGAGTGCTGCTCGCGCCAGCCCATTCCATCTGTAACCTGGGGCCTTTTGTTTCGGCCCGCTGATTCGACTCACTCTCAAATTTACTGTGCTTCTGGCTGTGCTAATTAAGCGTAGCCCTGGTACTTGAAATCCGCTTTAATTGAATCAAATTCCAACAACATTTAAACAATATTACGGCGGACGCATTACAAATTCCGTTGGCATCGGGCGGGCAATGAGGCAAAAGTAGCTGAGCAAATTTTTCGCTTGCGCCACATTAAGCACAAACTGATGAGTGGCTAGAGTGAGCAGGAGTGAGAAGGAGCGAGCAGGAGCGAGCAGGAGTGGGAGCAGGCAGGAGTATGGAGTCGGAGGGAAGCATAGAGGGCCAGCCATTTGACAACATCATTGGCAGCAGTCGCACTCTCTCTCTCTCTCTCTCTCTCCCTCCCGCCTTACCCCTCTCTAGCCCTCTCTCGCTCTCTGCTCAGGCTGATTAAATTGCCAACTGTATTCGCCTTTTGTGCTTGCCTTTGTTCCCGGCCAAGAGGCTGAGAGAGTTCTTCGTGAAACTTTTCGCCCAAATGTGTCTAGCTGCCTTCCTGCCACGTTCCGTTGTTACCTTAAGTGGACCTGCCTGTGCCGGGCCTTATCCTTATGTGTACCTGCACTTATCCGTGGCGACGCACTTACGACTCGACGAGCGTAAAACTATTTATGGATATTTGGCGCATAAACAAGCTGACCTTTGGGTATGAGCCGGGTAACGGTAACGGTAACAGCGAAGGTATCCGGCAACAGCAGCCACAGCGGCCGGAGTCAGCGGGGGCAGGGCAGCGCAAGGATTTAAGAAATGCCTGCGTTTATTGAAAAGCACTTTTTCGGCATTGCTGGAAAGTTCCCTAAGCATTTCGCACACGCAACTTGTAGATGGACTCGTGCCCAGAAATGTCTCCCGTGTCCTGTTCGATATCGAGGTTAACCTGGTGAACCAGGCTGTGAAACTGTCTCCCTTTTAAGTGCACAAATTAGTTCTAGACTTGTGTAAGACACGCTAAAAAATCCTTTTGGCTGTTTTGTATCAGGTTTTGCTCTTAGAATCGTAATTTGAGAAATATATATACATATATGGTATATGTTATTAGTATATGTTTTACTACTACTACGTCCCAAATTTCAACAGCTTCTCTAAAATGTAACTGGCAAACAGAAATAACTAGCAGAGTTAAAATGATAAAAAAATAGAGCAGGTCCGGCTAATTCACTCTTCGTTAACAGAGCGTTAACAGTGCACAAATTTTGTAGAGGCTTCACAACATTTCTGATGGTCGACGACCAAAGTTTCAGTTGAAGTAAAAATTGTTAGTTTTAGCAGGGCGTTAACATTTCACTGTTAAACTTTTGCTAGTTAGCACACTATGTTAAATCACACCCAAAAACATTTCTCACCAGCCAACTAGAATTTGTCACTCCACTGATAATTTTTGTTCACCTGGCCCCTTTTTATTTATTTTCTGTTAAGCTAAACCTGAAACGTAAATAAGACTCAAGAGACAGAATATAATAAAATAAATAAATTTGTATTAATAAAAAAAGATATATATATTATTTTCCATTAGAATGATTATCAATGCCATCGGAATGCCTCGTGCTTTAGCTGCCATCTCGAAAGGAAAGTGTTTGAGTAGGTGAAAATTCTGAGCATAACTTACAGGATGTTCTCTAAGCAGCTTAAAGCGCTTCACAGCTTATCGCCTGCTTAGCACATGCAAGCCCACTCACACACACAGGCACACACACTGAGAGAGAAACTTTCACGGTTTACTTGAGCCCCACAGCAAATGCTTCGCACTGGCGAGTGGCCTCTGCCTCGGCATTGTGGCACAATTAAGCCGCAGTTGGAGTAGAAGATCATTTTCAACTGTTCGAATGATGAGTGCGATTCAGGGCTTTATTTATGCTGCTGCCGCTCATAACTTGTCATAAATTTGACAGGCGTCGTCGGGCCTGTTGTATGCGGGTTCATTATATTGGAAAGGGAAGGAGACGTGGATGTGAATGTGGTTGGGTATGGGTATGGGTCTGGGTATGGTAATGGGAATTGGCGTTACGAACTGAGCTGAGCATATTCCCACATAGTTTTGGATTGCAAATATAAATGACGCACTAATTGCAGCGAATGCTTCGAAATTTTTTTATTTGATGCGTTTCCCAATTGAGTACGGAGTACGGGCCATAAAAACGAAAATATCTTCAAAATGGCTTGGGGCAGCCGCAGGGCAGGCGGAGGAGTCGGGGAAGCCATAAGAACCTGGCGGGCATTTAATGGCATTTTATGGCGCACAAAGCAATTGGCTATGAAATTAATTTCGAGAGCAAAAACCAAACTATAAGCAGCAGCAGTAGCAGCAGCAGGAACTGAAGTTAATGTCGCATGCAATGCGACGACCCGCAACAGCAACAACAGCAACAACAGCAGCACCAGCACCAGCACCAGCCTCAAACCTGTGTGTGGCATAGAAACTGAGCAAGTACTCACTATTTATTCACTAACTCATTAAAGTGAACTCCTCAGGCGATATGAGTGCACTCGAGTGCTGTCTACCTGTGCCTCCTTTGAAGTTGATCGCTGCGATTTAGGTGGCTTCTTCGCTTTTGATGTGACTGCGCCGCCAACGCAGACTGCTGCAGATGATCAAAATAAAAAGATGGCATCAGCAGCAGCGGCAGCAGCAGCAACTTGAGGAGCATCATAATGGGGCATCAGGAGGCGCCTAGTCGCCAATTAAGCGCTAAGAATAAACGTTGACCACTTCACATGATTGAGCGATTCAGGCCAACAACATCAACGTGCAACTAGCTGAAAGCAACCAAAGGGAGCAGGGGAAATATGTTTCCCGTTGATTAACTGAAAGATTTCCTTGGAATATCTATTGCAATCGTTTTTGAGTCGAAACTAATTTGTGAGTCGAGATTTTATAGACATTTGTGAATAAAGATTCAGGTTTATTTTATTTGTAATTTATTTTAAACATATTTTATACAATTATTTATTTAGTTATAAGTATGCATAAGTAAGCATTTATTCTTTATTTATTATATATATATATAATTTAAATAAAATTTGACATATCCATAAAGTTTCATTGTTAATTTTTTTTTATTAATTTAATATATTTTATTATTTTACATTTTATCAATTTATGAATTTGTAACGCAATATTAACTACATTTATTAATACACCCGTTCTTCTTAGTAGCTGAGCATACCTCATTCAAACTTCGCTTTACAGGTCATAATAAGAACCGACAGCCGACAGCCAACAGCAAAACAAGACGTCATTAGTGGCAGGTGTCTGTAAAAATGTTTAGACTTGGGCCGTGTTCGATTTGTGTTGCTTTTTCAGCATCTCAGGCTGAAAAAGAAAATTTTTTAACCGAAAATTGCTTTTTCATAAACAATGTGAAAACTTTGGATGTTTGCATTCCGCTTTAAGAGAGAGGCCAGAGCCAGAGCCGTTGGCAAACACAGGAAATGTGCTGCAACATTTCCATCGCTTCCATTGCAAGTGGACATATTTCCCAAAGGGGAACTCACTTCACCCAGGAGGAGGGGGACAACTGACTGACTTCAAAGCCTTACAAGCAGTTGGCGACAATTAGCCGAAAAGTTGACGGCTAATGGACTCTGGCATGCCATCGACGCATTAGATGTGGCTTTACTGGAATGGGGCCGAGCAATACCAGAGGCGTGATTTGAATGACAACGAATTTTGACATTGCAATTTCACGCTACATTTAACATTAACCACTTCCGAGTGGCAGTGACCCTCCGAAAAGGGCCAGGGCATTGACACGATTGCAGTTGCATTTGCATTGAGAGCTTAGCCAATAAGTATT